TTGTTTTTTTTTTTTTTTTATGTCTGTGTTAGTTTGTTTTGTGGACAGAATTGTTTATTTCTGTTCGTTCTTGTTTTTGACTAGGTTTTGAATTTTGTTGTAGTGTTTTTTTGTTTGTTTTTGTTTTTCGAGGCAGACAATTTGTTTTGTGTTTTTTATTTTGTGTTTGGACGGTGAGCTTTTTTTAGTTTTTTTTGGTGAAGATTTTGTTATTTGTGTTGTTATTTAATTGCGATTTGTAGTTATTTGTTCCTCTTGTTTGGTATCTTTAATGTTTTGTAAAGACAATTTCTTCTATTTGCTTATTGAATTTTATGGGTTTTGTAGTTTTTTTTTTTAATTTTGCAATAATTTAGTTTTTCTTGTTTTTGGGGGGTCATTTAGTTTTTAACTTTGGTTATTTGTGTGTTTTGTGGAAAAGTTGTGTGCATGATCTTTTCACTCATGGCCATGCACTAAATGTGTTTTTGAATGTTTTTGTTGACTAATTTATTTGTTGTTGTTTATGTTTTTGGAGAATATATATATTTTTTTGTTGGACATTTTTTTGTGTTCTTGAGTGTTTGGCCAAGAATTCGTTTTTTTGTGTGGTTTTGTTTTTCGTGGACGGTTGACAAAGTCTGTGCAAAATAATTTAAGAATTGTTTATTTCTGTTCGTTCTTGTTTTTGACTCGGTTTTGAATTTTGTTGGTGTTTTTTTGTTTGTTTTTGTTTTTCGAGGTAGACAATTTGTTTTGTGTTTTTTATTTTGTGTTTGGACGGTGAGCTTTTTTTAGTTTTTTTTGGTGAAGATTTTGTTATTTGTGTTGTTATTTAATTGCGATTTGTAGTTATTTGTTCCTCTTGTTTGGTATCTTTAATGTTTTGTAAAGACAATTTCTTCTATTTGCTTATTGAATTTTATGGGTTTTGTAGTTTTTTTTTTTAATTTTGCAATAATTTAGTTTTTCTTGTTTTTGGGGGGTCATTTAGTTTTTAACTTTGGTTATTTGTGTGTTTTGTGGAAAAGTTGTGTGCATGATCTTTTCACTCATGGCCATGCACTAAATGTGTTTTTGAATGTTTTTGTTGACTAATTTATTTGTTGTTGTTTATGTTTTTGGAGAATATATATATTTTTTTGTTGGACATTTTTTTTGTGTTCTTGAGTGTTTGGCCAAGAATTCGTTTTTTTGTGTGGTTTTGTTTTTCGTGGACGGTTGACAAAGTCTGTGCAAAATAATTTATTGTGCTTTCGTGTGTTTGTTTTATGGATTTTTTTTTGTTTGTTTTGTTCAACCTTTGTGATGTTCGTGTTTTTTGGACTATTCGTTTTATTTGTTTTGCGTTTTAGCATGTTTTTCAGTGAGTTTTTCATGGATCATCCATCCATCCATTATTGGAGTTGCTTCTCCTCACAAGAGTCGTGGGTGTGCTGGAGCCTCTGCCAGCCCGCTTCGGGCTGTAGTCTCTCAAATATTTTTTTTTTTGTGTGCGTTTATTAAGTTAGTGGACAATTTTTGTTTTTTTAGAAAATCGGACAAGATACAATGTAACAAATTACACAATATTTCATGTGAATAGTTTTTTTTTTTCATGATTTGTTTTGGTTTTATGTGTTCTTACTCTTTGTGGCCTTTGGAAAATACTTTGCGTATCTCATCGAAAAAGATTTGTTGAGCTTTCTTTTGTTTTCTGTTGCTTGTGTTTCTTTTGTTTTTCAAGCAATCGTTTTATCCGTTTTGGTTTGTTCTTGCGATGTTTTTTGGTGCATTTATTGCACAATAATTCACGTGGATTGTTTTTTTTTTTTTTTGACTGTGTATCATCTTTCCTCAGACGATCTCCTGCTTTCTCCTCTCAGAAGGCAACATTATCTCTTCGACGTGTCCACCCTCTCAGAAAAAGCAGAGGTCCTGGGAGCTGAGCTGAGGCTCTACACCAAATTGTCCGGCAATGTTGGCCTGTCTGAGCCCGTGGAGCTCCATCTGCTCTCGTGTCAGGACCGGCGGCTCCTAGACTCCAAAACCCTGGAGCTGCAGGAATGGTCCAGACCCAGATGGGAGGTCCTGGATGTGTGGGAGCTGTTCAAAGAATGGAGGCGCCAAGAGGAGAGCGTCGGGAAGCACTTCTGCCTGGAGCTCATGGCCGAGTCAGACAACTCTGAAAGACAGCTGGATCTGAGCCTACTGGGTCTGCACCGGCATGCTCGGCCCCGGCAGAAGAAGGCCATCCTGGTGGTCTTCACCCGATCCAAGCGAAGGCAGACGCTCTTCGGCGAGAAACGGGCGGGTCGAGCCAAAAACCGTGCGCCCGGGTTCAAATCCGCACGCAGCAAGCGGACGGCGGCATCCAGGATCCGCCATGGGAAACGGACGGGCAGGAGATCCAGGACCAGGTGCAGTAAGAAACCACTCCGAGTCAACTTCCGTGAGCTGGGCTGGGACGACTGGATCATCGCCCCGCTGGACTATGAGGCGTTCCACTGCGAGGGCGTGTGTGATTTCCCGCTGCGCTCACACTTGGAACCCACCAACCACGCCATCATCCAGACCCTGATGAACTCCATGAACCCGGGACACATGCCGCCCAGCTGCTGCGCTCCGGCTAAGCTCAGCCCCATCAGCATCCTCTACATCGACTCGGGCAACAACGTGGTCTACAAGCAATACGAGGACATGGTGGTCGAGGCTTGCGGTTGCAGGTAGGACTTTGGACCCTGGACTCTGGACCCTTTGGCGGCTTTGAATCCTGAAAGGTCTGACGTGGATTTAGTGATGAGTACATACCTCATAACATATATTCCTGCATTGTTCTTCATCCGTAAACCCACCAAGAAAACTCCTCCGTCCAGTTCCCTTCAAGTTTCCAAATTGACGTAACCTAATTTAACTTGAACTGGGTAAATGATTGACCAAAAATAATTTATGACTTGACCCCCCCAATACATTAAAACAGCACATTTTCAGTGGCCTTTTATTGTGGCCAGCCAAAGGCACACCTGTGCAATAATCTATCCATCCTGCCATTTTCAACACCGCTTATCCGGTTCAAGGTCATGTGGTGCTGGAGCCTATCCCAGCTGACATTTTGGGTGAAAGTGTGCACTAAAACGTGCTGTCTATTTAAGTGCTAGATATTAGACTATCTCGGCTAAAGAGAGGTGCTCACTAATCTAGATTTAGACAAAAGTAAGATGAAGTAGTTCAATATAAATAGGTTCAAAGAAAATGTCATTCATTTCAAGTTGTTTGACATTAAAAGGGCTCACATTTGTTCCGAAGATAAGAGTGTTGAAAGGATTACTTCGGGGGGAGGGGGGGGAGGGGCACAAGACTGGAAACCTGTGCCAAGGCCTCGCATTCCTAATTTGGATTAGTATTGAATTGAACACCTTCAGAAGTACAAACCTGCTTCGTAAGTGTGATGTTTCCCGTTAGGATTCACGTAGGCGTGGTCGTTAAATCCTGTGTGGTGAAAACATTCACAGTCAGAGATACAGCTCAAGTAAGAAAATCCTTGAGCAGCATAAGACAGTTGTTTATAATGTTGAGCAAAAATGGGTTGCTTTGAAAATGGGATGGCAGTATAGTTAAATAACCACCCGCCCCCGCCCCAAAAAAAGACGAAAAGCGACTTGACGGAGGTAGCTGCTCCTCAACCGGAAAGCAATAGCTTAGCATTAAAACCGGATTAGGAAATAGCACTGTTTGACACATGCTGTCAGCTTGTTAGGCAAAACCCTTTCAAGGATCATTTGGTGGAAAGAGTTGCCACACAATCATTATCTAGACAAAATTCAAAGTTGTTGGTTTACTTATTTTACTTCCTTGGCGGGAAGAGTCAACCAACTAGCTTAGCACAATGAACACATGCACGTCAGATGTGAGCCTTTACTGTTGCTTAACACAGGCAGCAATCTTTTAGTCACACAAAATGCACTTTCCTCTTCCAAAAATACATCTATATTTCATAAACTTTATATATATCGACTTCTAATGCAGAACAGTTTATTTATCGTCAAATTATCTCTATATATTATCGTCAAATATGTTATCGGATCAACTTTAGTTCGATTCTGGCTCAGGCCTTCCTGCGTGGAGTTTGTATGCTCTCCCCGTGCCTGCGTGGGTTTTGTTTGGGTACTCTGGTTGCCTTCCACATTTCAAAAACATGCCTGGCACGTTAATGGAATGCTCTAAAATTGTCCCTAGGTGTGTGTGCGCGAGTGCAAATGGTTGTTCGTCTAATTGTGCCCTACGATTGGCTGGCAACCAGTTCCGGGTGTCCCCCATCTAATGCCCGAAGACCACTTGGATCCAGCACACCCGCGACCATCATGAGGATAAGAAAATGGATCGATGGATGAATGGATGAATGGATGAATGGATGGATCAACTCTATTGTTACATTGCTGGTCTGCAGCCAGTGAAATGTCATCATTTTTATTTGTCTGAATGCAAATGTGGAAATATTTCAGTGTGTGTCCTCAAATTTTGGTGTTTGTTGTTCTTTTCTGATGCACTGATGATAAAAAAAAAGTACCGCATGTAAATATTTGATGTGCAATTGATAATTTGTTTTTTTGTAAGTTATTGCGAACACATGCTGGATGTTTTTGTGTGAGATTCATGCTGTCAGACAATAGCACGTCTGTCTTAAAATGATCATTTCAGGCTGAAGAGTTAGCTATCGTGCTTTTGTTCCTTTTTTTTATATATTTACTAAGTATATATTATTGATTTTTCACATAAAATTGCTCAGCTAAATAATTATATTCATATGAAATGTAATACAAGACATCTAGAGTACGAATTAAAGTATAAGAAAACATGTCTAAGTTTAACGTGTAATTTAACAATTTCTGGGATGGAATTCTATCTTTGATGAAAAAAAAAAAAAGGGCTTCGGGATGGACCCCTGAGGGATGTCTTATGAGTTGAGCACTGCACTACAGTACCCAAAACTGGTTTGCATGGATGAAACTCTTCTTGTCTTATGTCAAAAAGGGCTGTGGGGTCAAGAGGGGGTCACCAGACAAGTGGGCCCAGTGCCACCTTCCCTGGGTGGCCTCAGTCTGTGTGTGCGTGTGTGTGTGTGTGTGTGTGTGTGTGTGTGTGTGTGTGTGTGTGTGTGTGTGTCGGCTAATACTGGACAAACAAATTGGCGTACAGATGCAATGGCTGACCCCTCTTTACTCTACAGTGGGACAATGGTAGCGGAAGATCCCGACATCAGATTAAAACTGGCTTCTCCATCCGGGGTTCAAAGTTTAAGTGGCCTATTGTCCTCGTTTCAGTTGTGTGTGTGTGTGTGTGTGTGTGTGTGTGTGTGTGTGTGTGTGTGTGTGTGTGTGTGTGTGTGTGTGTGAGAGAGGCAGGGGGGTGTTGGGAGGCACTAAACAACCTCTAAAAGGCTGGACTGAAATGCCCAATTACAAGGTGAGATATAAAAAAAAAAAAAAAAAGGAGGCGGAGACAAAAGAGCAGAATGCGACATCTCTGCAGTAGCCCCCCAGGAGGCGTTCCTGCTCTCGAGAAGATTTGCTGCGAAATGGAGCTATGTACAAAGACACACAGGATGGGGCTGTTGTCATCAGCATGGAAGCGGCGGCATCAATGTCTCGCACATGTGGACAAAGACGAGGCAGGAGAAGGAATTTCAATGTGGAATTAGAAGCCAGAGAACAAGAAGAGTTGACAGGAAATGTTGCAACAGCTTGAGAAAAAGCCCCGAAATAAACACACCGGACACAAAATTAGGTACACCTGTTTTTCGCACTTATCTATGAAAATCCAACTCTCGCCTGGGGCAACTAGAGGACTTCGCGGCATCTGCAGGAACAGCAGGTTGAGCACAACGAAGAAGAAAAAAAAAAAGTATCTTAAATCTGCAGGTGAACATAATGAAGCGTGATGGGAGGAAGTCTCACTCACACGCAAGCATGCACTTCATAAAGGGTTTGGGGTGTAAAACGAAAACAAGGGGCCCCAGGATGGAGCCCTGAGGGACGTCGTATGAGTTTAATGTGTATATGTGTGTGTCGGTTAGGCCAAGTTAGTCTTTTTTTATGTGTGATCCTCTTTTTTTTTCATCTTTTACTGTCACATAGGGATGGGGAGGATGAGGACACATGTTTGCAATAGGAACTTGCAGCCGTCTCTCATGACTGCACTTGACATCCGTTCTTGTGTGTGTGTGTGTGTGTGTGTGTGTGTGTGTGTGTGTGTGTGTGTGTGTGTGTGTGTGTGTGTGTGTCTGTGTGTGTGTGTTTTAGTAAGTAAAAACAGAGCAAGTGTCCATCAGACAATTTAGACCCGAGTGCCATTGGTTTAGGGTGATAACGCTGGTTTTATGTGTTGCTTTCCAATCCGTCTGCACTTGGAAACACAAACCAGATGAGAAAATCCACCCCCCCCCACGGCCCCCCTCCCGACATGATTTAAAAGTGTCTGCCGAGAGCTCATTATGTCACAACGGCTGGTCATCACATCAAAGGGGAATGATACGACATACGAGGTGAGTCCCCCCCCACCCCCACCCTACCACCACCACCACCAAACAAAAGTTAGGGTTTTAAAGTTGGGCTCCAAGCTGCAATTAGGGTTTCAAATTAGAGTTATGGTCTCAAATTGGGGTTCTAAGCCTGGGCAGGGTTTCAAACAACAGTTTGTTTTGAAATAGGGTTTCAAGTTTCAAGTTTGAGTGTCAATCAGAGTAACAATATACAAGCCTGGATAGAGTTTCAAAGAGGATTAGGCTTTCAACGTACAGTTTCAAGCCTAGCTAGGGACTCAACAAAAGATTTAGGGTTTCAACGTAGGGTTTTAGGGATAGATAGGGTTTCAAACAAGAGTTCCAGTTGAAGAATAGGTTTCGGTTGGCGGTCCTAAAACTGACTTCGTGTTTCAAACAGGGTGAGGGGTTCAAATTATAGTTTGAAGACAGAGTCTCAAGCCCAGGTCGCATTTTGAACAAGCTTCGGGTTTCAAATTTGGGTTTCAAGAAGCGGTTAAGGTTTCAAAATGACATTAGGACAGCAAACTGTGACGTACCGGCTTGTACTGTAGAAGGAATAGTGGGGGCCTAAAAGGTGGTGATGGTGGTGGTAGTGGTGGTGGTGGGGGGATCGGTGGGTGTGCGAAGGGTGGGCGGGGGTCCGTCAATCCAAGGCAAAAAAGGCAAAAACGGTGTTTTGCCGTTGGAAGGGAAACCCAAAACGTGATGTGTAGCCCGCGAGCGGCCGGACGGGAAATGCAAGGTGACGCCAACGTGCTCACTGAGGAAGTGTTGATAGGGGTGGGGGAAGTAGGCTATAGGGGGGGAGGTCCCGGGGGGCTTCTAGTGTGGTAACCACAAAGATTTTTTATTTCCATTGACAGAACAGAAAAGCTCCCACACTTTGGTCAAATGCACAGGCATGCGCACACACAAATGTACAAATCAAATTTCAAAACAGGGTTTGGTTACGTTTCAAACGCGGGTAATGGTTTCCAAGTAGCGTTTAAAATAGGCAATAGGGTTTCAGGTCTTTTGCGTGACTTGATGACATAACATGGTGCTTGGCAGCCATTTTGAAGTGCACAATGTGGGATTACTGCCTGGAGAATTTTTGTGTGCGTGGGTATTTGACTCATGTGTCGGTGGGCCACCTTGAAACTGTCCGCGCAAGACATGATGCGCTTAGATGACTCGACCTTACGTTAATTTGCTGCTGAGATTTATCAGAGCTCAAAGTTCCCCCTAATGCACATTCAGCGCTTGCTTGAAAGGCAATTCCTGGCACTCGGAAAGTTCTTGGTTTGAAAGCCTAACCCCGTTCTGGATTTTTTTTATCATCATCTTCTTCATTGGTACTGTGACAAACCCAGGTTTAAAAGCATGCACTGAAACTCTAACCCTAGCTTGAAACCTTCATCCAAATTTGACATGCTAACCCAAGCTCGTCTTGAAACCCGAATTTTAAACACTTAACCTTCTTCAAAACCCTAACCCTGACTTCAAACCATGATTTGAAATCCAAACCCAGATTTGAAACCCGAACGCAGACTTCTAACCAATGTGTTTACAAAACTAGAAGCAAGGATTTTATGGTGTTCCTCAAGGGTGTATCCTGGAACCCTTGTCGCTCTTTAAAGTGGTCTTCATGCGTTCCGCTGGAGCCACAGTACCCACCCCCACCATCTCCCCGCCCAAACTTGGCTGTCCCTCTTTGACCTTTAGGTGTTGATTGCGCTGCAAGCGCTAAATCTTTCCCGGTCGTCAGGGTTCAGAGGTCAATGAGGCGGCGGAGTCTAATGGTGGCAAATAGCGTCAATCACCTTAAAACGACAAAAGACGACACACACACATTCACACACACAGTCAAGGAATGTCCGGAATCTGCTACGGGTTAATCCACTGCCATAGAGCGTATATATACACACACACACACACACACACACACACACACACACACACACACACACCCACACACAC